GCCCCCAATGCCCTTCTCCTCTCCTCTCCTCTCCTCTCCTCTCCTCTCCTCTCCTCTCCCAGTATCACCCTGTCCTCCCTCCCACTGACACCTCCCCTCCTGCCCTTTTCTTCATTGTTTCCACTTGCCACGCCCCCTGCATTAGTCTCTCCTGCATCCCTGCCGCTTGGTGTCTTCCCATTTCTTCTCCTGACCTGCCCCCCTCCCCTCAGCACAAGCCCCTTCCTCTCCCACCCCTCCCCCTCACCTTGCCTCACCTCACCTACCTTCTGCCTTCCTGTTTGCAGGGCTGGAGTCTGCTGCGATTGGGCCCCAGAAGTCCCCGCAGCCCGGGCTCCAGACCATGTGCTGGAGTCAGAGCCGGAGCTAAGCCGCTCAGCGTTTGCAGCCCCAGCCCATCACAGCACAGCCGGTCCCGCCTCTAGCGAGGCTCTGCTCCCCCACGCCCCACTCAGCGCATCTCCTTCCAAGGCATGGCTTGACTGTTTTTAAAAATGGTGCCACAGTGCCATGCCACGTGTGACCCCACCCCTGGTACAGCCCCAGCTCCTACCAATGCTGCCACCTGGGCTGATAGCTTCCCTTCTCCAGCCAGGGTCAGCTTGCCAGCCTCCTCGCTGGGGTCCCTCGGCCTGGTGGGGTCTTCTGGAGGGGCCGTAAGTGCTGGCAGCGCCCTTACTGGCTCCGGTGCAGAGCGCACGCATATGCTTCCCCTCTGTGCCAGGCTGGCAGAGTGGTGCCCCAGAAAGTGTGGTGCCCTACGTGACTGCGTACTCCATGTATGCCTAAGGATGGCCCTGCCTGAAGCTGCCAGCACTATTTCTCAATCAGCATTTAAAGAGACAAGAATTAGTTTTTGTCTTTGTTATACTTGGTCATACAGTGCAGTGAAAAAAGACATGAATAAATGCTGCAGACTTCTGTGGGTATTTCTGCACTGAGAAGAAACACATACAGTGCCAAGTCTCTGAGCTTGGGTCAACTGACTCAGGCTCCTGGAGCTTGGGCTGCAGGGCTAAACATGGCAGTGTAGTGTAGACCTTTCTGCTTGAGGTGGAGCCTGGGCTCTGAAACCCAGCAAACGGGGAGGTCTGACAATTTATGTGTCTGACAATTCTATTATTTACTATAGCTTCAACTAATTTGCCCAGTACTCATGTTAGACTTCCCAGTCTGCAATTGCCAGCATCACCTCTAGAGCCCTTTTTAAATATTGTTGTCACATAAGCTATCTTCCAGTCTTTAGGTACAGAAGATGATTTAAAAGATAGGTTACAAACCACCGTTAATAGTTCCTCAATTTCACATTTGAGTTCTTTCAGAACTCTTGGGTGAATGCCATCTGGTCCCAGTGACTTGTTACTGTTAAGTTTATCCGTTTGTTCTAAAACCTCCTCTAATAACACCTCAGTCTGGGACAATTCCTCAGATTTGTCATCATATATATATTAGCCCAATGTCTGAGAATCTGTAACGCTGAAACACTGGGGAGAGAAGCCTGTACTCCAAAATCTCTTGGGTGTTGTGGATTTTAAAGTTCAAATCCCAATAACGTTTGACTCTTTTGTATTTGCTACACTTTGGATTATTAGCGCTTCAACAGTCTTTGTGAAGCAATCATGAGCCATTCTTCCTAGTTCAGCAATGACGGCCTTGGGCAGCTGTGATTAGTTCAATTGCTCAGTATGCTGAAAGTTTTGGGAAATAAACAGTAGTCTCTCCTTTTCAGTTGTATAAAACTGAAAGCGCTTGGCGCCCCCCAATGTCTTTACTGATTACTGATGTTATTAAAGTTCTCCCTCGGTTAAGCATCAATTGTACTGGAACTTTCCTTACTACTTCCATAGCATCCATTCAGGAATGGGAAAACTTCAACCATTTTGATTTTATTTTACTTTGTGCTTATTTTCTTTAACTGATTTTATTTTTATTGTCTAGCAAACGTTGTAGTGCAAAATTGGACAGAGATGTCTTCCAGAAAAATGTATAGCAACTATTTGGGGTTTTCTCTACAAGCCTACAAATGAGCTAAATCCTGAATGTTTATTAAGTTTTTGTTCAGTTCTTACTTAAACAAAATACCTATAGTGTTCAGTGAGAACTTTGTCCAAAGACTAAGTAAAAAAATAAAGGCTTCAAGATTCCCCCACTAAGTTTAATTACCACACCTAAATAAAGCACATACAACACAAAACAGGTGAAATTCTTTCTCCATTAAAGTCAAGAAATTTTGTATAGTACCGTATACTCATAAAGAACCCAGTTGTGCCCTGATGCCTATTCTATTCCCATAGGTTTTGTGGAATATAACTGGGGCAACAGATATAGAATATGTGGTTTTAGGAGGATATAGATGTATGTTAGAATATAAGATATAATGTGAATATATTTGTATATTCATTATATCTTTCACAGTCATGAACCCATTTCTATTTATATTTGATTTACCAATATGCCTCAAACAAGATTGGGGTCTTATTGTTCTACAAGACTTGATATCTTGCCAGAACAGCATCCAGTCTATTTTAAGCCAAGATGCAACAAATGAATGGAATAAACAATGGGGAGGTAGTGGTAACAGCAATAAGAATATCTGGTTTCATAGGCTAGCAGTGTGCATAATCTGGAAGTTCTAAATTAGATTAAGTTTCTCTATTTTAAGAAACTAGGCTACACCTCCTGCTTGCAATGCTTGCCAACCCCTCTCTCTCCGGTGGTAGGTGTCTGGCCTGGGGGAGGGGGCAGAAATGGGCTGGGAATGCCAGGTCTCAGTGGAAGAGGTAAGGGGGCTGATGAGGTCAGGCTTGGACGGCAGAGGGAATGCCAGGTTCAGGCTTGGATAGCGGAGGGGATGTGGGATGGATGGTTGGGGGCAGGGAGTCAGGCTAGAATGGCGGAGGGAACATGGGGTGGTCCATGGGCAGTCAGGCTCAGATGGCGGAGAAGACCCAGCACAGCCTGGTGGAGTTGGGCTTGGCTGGTGGAGGGGACCCAGGAGAGGCAGGGGATGGCAATGGCGATGGGGACCCAGCACAGCTTGAGGTGAGTCAGGCTCAGATGGCAGAGAGGACCTAGCCTTGGAAGCTCCTCCCTGGTGACACAGCTGGAGCAGCACATGTCCAGAGGGGACAGTGCTGAGGCTGGCCACAACAAGCAGCTGAGGATGAAGGCGCAGCCAGGGGATGGCGGTATGAGGCTGCAGATGATGTGATTACATCACTCTGTTGTCCCGCAGGAATTTTTTTTTTTATTTATAGAGAGAGACAAGCACAAAAAGCTATAATTAAGACCGCAAGATGTCTTTCACTATAATTTCTGTTTTCTGACTTTTGGAAAATCTCCTTATGAGCTGAAACATTCCACATTTAACTTCAGCCAAAAGCAATATTTTGTTTTATATTTTCCTTGAACTTTGAAAAACAAAGTATGGAAGGCAAAAATACACAATTATTTTGTGGCGTGGATACTTAACACATTTAAGGCACTTTAAAAACTCTTCCTCCACATGTGCCTAACCATCCTCATTGAGGAGTAGACATAGCATGCAAAAAACCTGTAACTTCAAAGGTCCATTGAAGGTGGTTGAAAGGGAATTGGGTGAGGAAACTGCACTTCAAGTAAAACAAGCAGAATGAGAATACCTATTCTTCTTCTTCAAGTGCTGTCCCCGTGGGTGCTCCACTTCAGGTGTCGGTACATTCTTGTGCCAGCCAATAAGACAATTTTCTTAGCAATGCCTGGATGTGCCACACGTATGCAGCAGCCACCTCATGGTGCTTTTCGCTGTGTGCTCGGCACAACTTCCCCCTCCCTCCTTCCATTCATTCTCTACCATGGAATCAAGAAATTTGACTACAGAGTAGAGGGGAGGAGAGAGGGTAAAGAGCACCTACAGGAACAGACATCTCAAAGAACCATTTTTACTGCACAAGATGTGTAACTTCTTATTTTCCTGTCAAATGCTGTTGCTGCTGCTCCATCTACTGGCAGAAAAAAACAGTGTAGTTCATATGACTCCCTAATGAGGAACAGACTACTTTTCTCCTCCTCCTTCAGATTCCTATACCTCCCTTAAAAGATGAATTAGAAGGATAGGAAAGCCAATGGGTAGCTATGCTTCCACAAACTGTTTCATACTCAATCTCTGTTCTTTAGGCTGCTAAATATATATTTTCATATATAGAGCTTTCATAGTATCAGTGGTGATGTTGCTCTAAGAACCTTAATTTTGTGATAGCCTGAATTCTATGTGTTTTCAGTTTGCAACCTTAATACAAGATTTCCCAGATCATTACTGATGTACATACTGGTATTTTTCTTTACATGCCTTATTTCTAAATTCTTCTTCTTCTTCTCCTTCTCCTCCTTCCCAGTACTTGTCAGAAAATGGAGTATGTGTGGGGGCGTATTTGTACCTCATTTTAGCTCAGGATAAATAAAAAAGTTGTTACTTGAAATTATTTGTTATTATAAACATGACGCTGTAAATCAGTATATTTTACAATTTTGTCTAGATACTACTCTGACATGCTCATTAGAAATGCCTTAATATATTCAGTGGGCCAGCAGTGCCAGACAAGTAAGAAGATCTCTGAACTATGAAGTCTCTAAACCATGGGTTCTGAAACTGGGGTGTGTGAAGAAATTCCAATGGGGGAGCGCAAGGCGACCCAGCCTCCCCCCCATCAAGTTTTGCTGCCCTATTCAGTTCTTTCCCCCCCCCCCTTTTTTTTTGCTCAACAATTTTTGCTGTTATTTTGGGGGGGAAGGGGCATGAGGATTTTTCAAAAATCAGAAAGGGGGGCGTGATGCCAAAGAGTTTGGGAAACACTGCTCTAAACGCTATGAACAAGATGTAAATTAATATGAGCAGAGTGTTAATAAGTAGCTTCTTATGTTTTTGTAAAGAGCTGGGGGCAAATTGTGTGAAGAGATTGGCAACCGTTATCCTTTGATTAATCTGCTACAATGTAGACTTTGTTTTCTTTTTCTTTCTCTAGCATGTAAAACTGTCGCATGAATTTGAAAAATTGGTACTTCAGGATAAACGATTTGAGATCTGTGCTGAAGTCATACTGGGACTGGTGTGCTTCCGACTAAAGGTAAAATAGCAATGGCTTATAATGTTCCTCTTGTTTTTTTAAGATATTGATACAATTTATTGCACTGGTAACACGGCAGGACTCACTGCCACAGCATCTCCTGCTGTTCACTCTGGGAATTAGCTCTTCAATGCTGGTGCACCCCTTTCTGGCCAGTGTCTCACCTGATATTATCTTTTATTCTCCACCATTTTGTGTTAAGACCCATGGCCCTCCAAGACTGTGGTGTCCTCCCTTCTGGTACTGCCCTGCTGCAGTGTCCCCAAACTCTGGGGTCCTCCCCTTCAGGGAACCCCCAACCCCTTAAGCCCACCTTGCCTCAATGACCCACTGCCAGTCTTCATCTAGCCCCTTATCTCAGGGGCAAACTGCAGTCTGAAATGGCCACTCATCATTGGCAAAGGGGTGGGGACCCACTGTATTTGTCTACTCTGGCTGCCTCTTTGCACCCCTAGTACTCTCAGGCCTTGCTTTCTGCCCTGCAGCCTGGAAGCTTGCCTGTCCAGAGCTTCCCCAGCCCTGCTCTAAGTCAGGAAGCCTCTAGCTTCCCTGGCAGCCAGGTCCCTTCTGCTCCACAGCTGGAGCAAGAGCGAGTCTGAGTGTCCTCCCATCCAGAAGCCTTTAATTACACTGCCCTCAGCTGGGCCCTAATTGGCTGTCTCTGCCTCAGCTGCTGGATCCACTGCTCCATCCCTCTCCCAGGGCTGGGTTTTAACCCTTACAGGGCCAGTGCAGGGCAGATGCCCCATCACACATTGGATTACATATTGTTATCGTTAACCTATTTATTATTTTAAATTGTAGAAAACTCTTGATATGTGACACAAACCAAAGAGGGTCAAAGAAATAATCTAGAGCCAGATTTTCTTTGTAACGTAAGATTTAAAGAAGTCCTACCATGATACGGTATGAAAATGCAGTTAAAAGGTACATGAACAATCATAACACTTGCTTCATACTGGCACTATGCAATAGTCATATGATTAATGCATTTTAGGATTTAGTTTAAACTGTTTTTAATAACAGTATGACCAAAAATAGGTTTTATAGAGCCTGGTTAAGATGGTTTGGGTGCCTAAACTGTGTTTTCTCATACCTTAACATAACAGGATTTCTTTTCAGTTTAAGCTTAACTCTAAATTTATGATACTCTTTTTGGGGAGAATTGCAACATTCCAGTAATGTGTTTTGTTTTCATTTTAAATTCTTGAATGTACTGTTGATTCTTAGTGCCATCTTCATATGTGGGGGAGGGAGAATATTCTGAGAACTTCTTTTGTGTAGGATTGTTTTAGGTTTTTTATAATTATTAAAATGTCATTCATGAACACCAGACCAGAAACCCCCAAAAGTTATATGTTATATTTTTATAATTTCAAGATAAGTATCAAAAATAAATTTTTCATTTTTATTTTTTTAACTTTTAGAGCCAAGTTCATCGGTATGCTCTGGGTAGCCCTGGAGCAGCACAATGCAACCAGTGCACATTGACCTATTAAGTTAGGCTTATAGTTGCTTTGCATCACCAGATCAGCACATATGAGCCAGAATACATTGGTGAATCTGGTCTTTAACTTGCAGTTGGCTTAGATATTCAGGATACAGGACATTAAAAAAAATCCTTTACAATATTTTTAAAACATACTAGGGGGCTGCGCCCCCTGCTCACTATGCTTGCCAACACCCCTCTCTCATGGAGTAAGTGTCTGGCCAGGGGGGAGGGTGCAGAAGCAGGCTAGGGATAGGTGTCTGGCTGGGGGAAAGGCGGCAGGAGCAGGCTGAGGGTGTGGGGTCTCAGATGGCAGAGGGGACCCTTCACGGCCTGGGGAGTTGGGGCTTGGATGGCAGAGGGGACCTGTTGCAGCCAGGGGGTTGGGGTAGGGCTCGGATAGAGGAGGGGACTTAAGGTGGGCTGGGGGTAAAAGGTTGAGCTCAGATGGCAGAGGGGACACAGGGAAGCCTGGAGTGGAGGGGTGAAGCTCGGATGGTGGAGGGTAGAAGGAAAGAAAACCAGGGATATGCATGAAAGATGAGAGATAGGTGGGAATAAGGTTATGTTCAAGGGAGTCCGGTATTGAGTAGAACAGCACTATTGAGTAGAACAGCATTGGGAAGAGGCTTGAGTTGGGGAGCTAATGTCATGCAAATCAGATGGGGAAGAAGACTGATGATTTGTTAAGTCTGAGACCATAGTAACATCACTTCAGAATGACCATAGCTGTTGACCAGAACTGTTTATACTCTATATAATTATAATAAGCTACAAAGTAGTAAATAACGTAGCTTAATTACAACCTAATTTATTCAAATGTAGCTTATGCACAATGAATTTTAACTATATGTAAAGTTTAAAGAGTCTGCATTGTTCTATTAATATCATTCAAAAACAAAATCTGAGTGTTAAATTTCTTAAAAAGGCCTATTTTAAACTATTGTTATTCATAAATCAATTAGCAGATTTACTTGTAAACACACAAAATTAATTCTATACTCAGAGTAAATGCTGTACATCTGCTGTACAGAGTAAATTCTGTACGTTGGGGAGGATACATAGTGTTCTTCAGACATCGTAAAAAAGACCAAATCCCTGTTTCAAATGCAAAACTCAATCCAGTGTTAACTAACTATGGAACTGGAATGCTGAACCTAAACAACACTAAGATTCTTTTTAAGAGCACTTAAATGTGCCGTTAGCTTTTCTTAAGACTTTTAAGCAAATCCAGGCTTCTTTTGATGACATGATGGGATTTTTGCTGACACTCCTTTCCAGATTCTCAATTGTCCCAGTTACCTGGGTCTAATGCTGCTGGTTGAGGAGTCAAGATGAATGTCTAACCCAGGAGTGTTTCAGTGAAAGCTGGACTGAGCCAGGGTAGTAAAGTAGTTTGTTTTGTGTTCCTGCTGTCAATAGAAAAGGACACCCTGTCTCCCCACTGACAGAACAGCTGCAACATGTATTGTTGTTTTTTTCTGTAATTAGAATAGGCCTCTTAACAGTTCTGAATACCATTTTCCCCAAAAGCTTGATGGAAGGTTTTGAGCATGTGGATATTATTGCTGACATGAAAAATATTTTTAGATCTATTTTCTCACATGGAACAAGCAGACACAGAGATTTTTGTAGGGCTTGTGACAGCTGTTAGTGCTTTCTGTACTTTCAAAGAGCATTCCTGGTGAAATGGAGCATGGCAACAAAGGAATTGTCATATTTGATCAGACCAATGATCCATTTAAGTCCAGTCTCCTGTCCCTAATGCCTCAAAGGAAGGTGTAAGACCCTCATGACAAACAATTATGAAATAGTGGGCAGATGCTGAATGTCCTTGATACTATGCAGAATGTAGTCTTGGCTCTAGCAACACTAGATTCTTTAGCAACCTGAAGACAGAAATGCCTTCATGTCCCTTTCCCTCTCTTTTTGGATTTTACCATTTTTGCACAAACCTTTTGCATTAACAGATGCCTACTGTTGTGTCTGTGGCCTTGCTCTCTGAATCATTTAAAAAAATCAAGTTTAATATTTATTCAGTAAATCTCCTTTAGATCTAATGCATCCACAGTTCTTCTGTATTGCTTGCAACACAGGGATAAGAAGATAATGCATAAAAGCAGTATACTTGGGAAGAAAACTTGATGCAATATCTAGAGATACTGAATAAATATTTGTACACTTTTGTTTTTATTCAACTTTTTGTTCACTGTCTCACTTAATTAAAACTCTTAATTCTCTGCATTTTCCTTTCACATTGTTGAGCAGATGTGCTAGTAATGCCTAGTAAGTGATATGTGATCTAAAGGCCAAAGACAAAACTGAGGGCTAATGGGTCGATTTTGGGGTAATTTTTGGTCTGTTTGTCATGACTGCAGATTATTATGAGAAAAGTTGGTAATTTCTCTAAGGAGCAGGAAGAACAGTGTATTTTTAAAACTGACATGCTTGTCCAGAGCTGACTACTTGCCTCCCAAAGCTCTGGGATGGGACTAGTCATCACTAACTTCAATTTGATGTGACACCGGAGCGTCAAAGCAGCCCCTAAGTGCTTCTGTGGGAATATAAGAGAAGAAAGATGTGCACAACTATTTTTCCAGTAAGCAGTAGCTTAACCTGAAATAACTGCACCTAAATGTTACTTCTGTGCTGTTGAACTACATGTTTAATATAGACTGAAAGGATCATCAGATTTATGATGGATTATCAACCAGACCAAAGAGATGTATATTTCACTGTCACTATCAAAGCGTTCAGGACAAAAGCTCACCAACACAAGATTCAGTGTGTGTGGTTCATTGTCATGGTGAGCAGTGGTCAAAACATAGTTGAAGTTTCATGGCGATTTTTTATAGAGATAAGGGCCTTCCAAGAGTTAAAGTACAGGATAAATTACATTCAGGATTTTGATTTGGGACCATTTATATTGTGACATATTAAAGGGTGTATAGAAAAAAATCATTTCCCACACATGACAGTAAGGAAGCTGTCAATTGCCTTCAGACCTTTTTGTTTCCATAAGGACAAGATAGGCATTCTACTGTGTATAGTACTGAAAGAACAATAGTGTGTATTCTAAAGGGAAGGTTATCAAAAGTACCTAAGGGAGTTAGGATTACAGGTCCCATCAGACTTGTGTACTAAATTCGTTATGTTCTATTGCAAATCTGCTGAAAGCTTTGCAGGTTGATTAAGTGCATTTCTGAACTGCTTGATGCAGTGCTCTGACACCAGCAATATTTTCCTACCATGTAAACCTCTTTCACCTATTTATTGGGTAGTATAACGGAAGCCACTGAGGCATTGTTGCATTACCTCAGACGTATTGGTGAAGAATAACTACCAACATTTGAGATTAACCAGGGCTACCCTGAAAAAGTTCTGCAAACTGTGTACAGTACTCAAAGAGCAATAGCATATGTTCTAAGGGGCAGCGCGGCTCAAGTGTCACTTCCAGCCTGCTGCTATAAGAGTTAGGTAGATTCCCCTAAAATGACATGATAAAAAGACAAAGGGTATGTCTAGACTACCGCATTTTGTCAACGGAAGTTTTGTCGACAGATACTGTCGACAAAACTTCCGTCGACAAAGAGCGTCCAGACACATTGAGTTCTGTCGACAAAGCAAGCTGCTTTGTTGACAGAACTCGGTAGTCTGGACTCAGTGTTACAGGCAATAACACCTTCTGTCGACAGAGTTCTGTCGACAGAAGGTGTTATGCTTCGTAAAATGAGGTATACCAGCGTCGACAAAACTGCTGAGTTCTGTCGACGTTATGTCGACAGAACTCAGCGGTAGTATAGACGCTGGTATAGTTTTGTCGACAAAAGTCCACTTTTGTCGACAAAACTAGGTAGTCTAGACACACCCTTAGAAAAGTAGGTACATTGGTCTTATCCTGCAGTGCTAATAGAGAAAAAACTCTCAGGAATGGGTCCCTCTGAATAGGTTGTACATGAGAGTACATGTTTTGTTTTGTTTTAAATTAAAAGGATCAATTTAAAACAATTTCTTTCTCTTTTGGAAAATCAATAAACTTTGTTTCAATTCTAACCCCTAACTTATAAAGATGACCTTTTGAGATGTTGGCCTGGGAGAAAGATTAATATGACTCTAGGTGAATCCAAGTGGGGGGTTCAAGCTGCTCAAAAGCCCTACTGGGGACATTAGGAATTGGGAGTGGCCCCACACTGGCCACTCTCAAAAAGAAATCATACCACTTAGCAATGGAGAGTAAAGAAATCACTTCAAGGTATCACTTTAATGAAAGGGGGCATAATTTAATGTTTCATTATGTAGACTCCCTGGCTGCGTCTAGACTACAAGGCTCTTTCGAAAGAGCGTCTAGATTGCACCACTTCTTTCGAAAAAGCGAGCACCTCGGCAGTCTGGATGCTCGCTTTCGAAAAAACTGTTTGCATTCAAGAATGCCTTTTTTCAAAAGAACACTTTCAAAAAAAAGCGTTCTTCCTCGTAAAATGAGGTTTTCTTTGTTCCAAAAAACTGCCACATTCTTTTGATTTAATTTCGAAAGAATGCGGCAGCAGTCTAGATGCAGGGGAAGTTTTTTTGAAAAAAGGCCACTTTTTTTTCGAAGAAACCCTATAGTCTAGACACCCACCCACCCCCACTATGACTGTCAGCGCATAATTTTATTCTCCCTGACTCAGTTTATCCATCTATAGATAGTAGATACTGCCTATGTAACAGTTGGGAGAATTAATTTACTCTCATTTCTAAAGCTGCCTGTTTGATTACATGATCTGCATAAGGTTCCAGCATTGTCATTTGTCTATGTGTTGTTACTCTGAAGCCTAGAATGTCTGTAGAGTCATTTGACATGATGGAAACAGATATATGTTGGTTGAAGGCTTTTTCTTTAGAATATCACTAGGTTGAATCATGACAGGGGTTCGTGGTCTCCGACTGTCCAACTTTTAAATTCTCAGACATTTTGACTTTACTAAATGCAGCTATGCACTGCAATATAATGTATCTGTACCATGACGAGTTCTAGACCATTGTGATATGAAAGAAAATTCATTCAATATCACCCTCACTCTACAGCTAATTTACATGCAACAATTTATTTGGTCGTGTGAAGACTGAAAAGATGGTGGATTACTTGGACTAACTACCACACACATTGTACACAGTATACCCCAAATACATCTACCCTGTCTTTGCTTCATACCCCTTATCCAACACTCTTGCAAATCAGTATGAAATCTCCAGCACCATGTACACACTCTCCCACCTCTTTAATATATACCATAAACCCCATAAACTTGAGGGGCAAAGCTGCAGGCCATCACTAGTAGAAGAACTATATGGAAGAACAAGTTCTCCAACAGTGTAGAACTTGAGAAAGGCTTAGTTTAGGATTTCTGCTAATATAAGCGGGATTCATTCCTTCACTTTAAGCCGTGCATGAATTCAACTCAGTTGCCTCCCCCTTTCTTCAGTCCTATCTTTCTGTTCAAACAAGTAAGGAGTGTAGGATTTAATTCACAAATATAGGTCGAACCTCTCTAGTTCAGCACTCTCTGGTATGGCAACATCTGGTATCTGGCATGATTTTAGAGAGCTGGATGTACATTTTTCATGGGTGTGGCCAAGTTTCCTGCGGTCCCATAAAGTTTGTTTACAGACACCAGTCTTCTGTACTATTATTTAGCTCTAATTTACTCCTAAATGTCATCTAGGAACCCAGTAAACAGTGGAAGTGTGGTAATGCTACTTGACGATATTGACCTCACATGGTTGGCAAATTCTCTTGTTTGGCACCAGTCAGGTCCCATGTTGGACTAGGGAGGGTCAACTTGTATTAATATTTCATTGCAAAATGTCTTATCAATTGTCTGTGATTAGCTCTTAAAATATTGGAAAGGTAGCTAAAATAACATTTTCATATAAAGTTGCAGATACTGATGACCCTGGCTCCGCCAAAAGTTGTGTGCCCTATACCACTGCTTCTCAACCATTTGGAGTCCATAATTCACAAAATAACAAAAATTATCCCATGATCCACTATATTCCGACAAACCTTTGGGGTGCGTCTACACTGCACCGTTATTTCAAGATAATTAGCATTATTTTGAAATAACAATGTGAGTGTCTACACAGCCATTCCATTATTTCAAAATAATTTTGAAATAAAGGATGGCTTATTCCAAAATCTGTAAACCTCATTCAGCAAGGAATAATGCCTTTTCTAAATAGCTATTTCGAAATAAGGCATGCGTAGACGCTCCACAGTTGCTATTTCGAAATAGCTCCTCACCAGGGCCATTCTAAGTTATTCTTCCCCAGTGACTCCTGGGGCTCTAAATCAAGATAGCATATCTACATTAGGGAAGCCTGCCTCTGACTAATTTTAAGGCTTTCCTGCAGTGTAGATGTGCTATTTCGAAATAAGCTGTTTCGGAACAACTATTCCAGAATAGCTTACTTCAAAATAGCTGTGCAGTGCAGACATACCCCAATGAGAAAGGACTGAGGAATTTGGATCCTGGGAAGAAATAGTGGGTGCAGGCCGCTGGTGGTGTTATAGTTAGGTAGACAGTGCTGGTTGGTGGGACCAAAACTTAAAGTTGATATTTATTGGTTTACAATTTTTTCAGGGCTCCAATGAACTGAACGAGGCACTTCTTAAAAGCATAAATGATGCCAAGAAAATCCATCTGGTTCCATGTCACCTCAGAGAAAAGTTTGTGCTACGCTTTGCCATTTGTTCCCGCACAGTGGATTCAGATCATATCCATGTTGCCTGGAAGCACATCTCAACACTAGCAACTGAGCTTCTGAAAGCACAACAGCAGCAGCAGTGAAGATTAGGAGTGGTAGGAGGGGTGTTAATGATTTTTTCCATGCTGCTAAGTTTTCTTTAGTGGGAAAGGGAGTAGAGGGTGGGGAATGTGACAATTGATATTCTATGGCCCATCTACACTAACAAAACTACTGTCAGCAAATTGTGTTGTAACATGGTCTCCTGACTGCATCATACCATGATTTTGACTTAGTGGTTGTGCTGTAGCCCCGTTACTAAGCGATATTATGGTCCTGTAAAAATCAGGGTTGTATGGAGTTCTATAACATAGTTTTAACTCTATTTGTTCTTACCTATGGAGACAGGACCAAACTTACCTTATTATAACAAGGAGCACTATTATGTTACAGTTCTATTTGTTACCATATTTTATTTGTTTTGCAAGTGGCACTTGGAGACATCTGCTTTCCTAGAAGGGAGAGCCAGCAGCATGAGCGAAATTAGAAAAATCAAATAGCTCTTGATGTAATAGTTTACTGTGGCTATTCCCCTAGCTTTCCTTCAAAAAAGGCAGCTGCCCTCTTAAAATGCAATCTTCTGCATATTGCTAATTCTGTCTGCCTACATTGGTACTTATGTGGCCTGCATCAGTGTAGTATCTGCTTAACTAGTGCAGCAAGTAACTAGGGAGGACGCTCACCCTCTCAAACCCAGTCCTCAACCCACCTAAACCACTGGATCTGCTACAGAATGAGCGTCCCTACCCAACCACCCATTCACTGGACAACCCCTCACCACCCCACTTCCCAACTTCATCTGGGGCCCCACACACTCCCCATTATTCTCTTCGGGCTCCCCATAAGCCATGCTCCAAACCCCCCCCGCCCCGCCATCCTGCGGAATCCACTTATTCTCTGCTCCCCCCACTGAAGGGTCTTGAATGATATTCCAGAGGATGAGGGCGCTCCACCAGCGGGCCCCATCCGTGGGCCACGCCTAACGCTTCGCCACGGGCCATACAACCAGGCTTCCATGTGCAAGACTCCCCCTTACCCTAAACCCAAACCGGCTCCCGGATGTACTTATTCGCTTAACTACACCTGTATCAAAATGTATACTGTGCTGCTTGTACTGTTTGTTCGCAAACATTCTCTCAATAAACGTCAATCTGCTTAACTAGTGCTGCAAGAAACCAGGGAAACAGAAACACTTTTAAACTAAGGAATGCACATATTTTATTTGTATTTGATTCCCTAATAAAATGTTTGTAGGCGTATTGGCACTGGAATCAAGTGCCAACCTTTTGGCATATAGAAGAACCAACTCAATTCTTAAAATAATGAAAACAGTTTAAATGTAAAGGGTTTTGTTCTCCCGACTACCTGCATAGAGCAAAGGGAAAATGGACTCTTTCTTCGCCCTACCTTCCCCAGATACCACCACTTCCCATAGTGTAATTCTTTGAACATTTAAGAATCTACTCCACTTAAAAGAAAAAATTGACCTAATAGGGTACTGGGCCAAAGAAGATGTGGAGGTAATTAGCAATATGCAGAATTAGCAATATGCAGAACATTGCTCCTGGAGAACAGGAGAATCTGCAAGGCCTGAGTTGATTTGGCCCCTTCCCAAGGCACTCCATTTCCTGTTCTCATTTGCTCCTTGGAGGTACATCTCCCTTCCTCACTTTGCCCACTCTCTTCCTGCACTTTGCTTGGGCTGCTAATCATCCTACAGTGGTCATGTTTTAAATGTTTCTATTGATTTGATAAATTTTACATTGAGGGATTTCTTACAAATTGATAGACATATTTTAAGTGAGCGATAGTATATATAAAATAATTTTAAACTTGAGAATTTTCGAACAGCAAAATTAATATATTAATTTATTTTTATCATCTCTACCATTTAAGTGCATGTCAAAATTGGACAATGAAAATAGCCTTATCAATTTTGTTCTCATTTTCTCATGTACCAGCCTAATGCTACTATTCTGGGATTTCTCAAACATCAAGCACGTTTACTACCAAAGCTATTTTCGTTCATTAAAAAGAAAAAAATTAAATTTTGAAAACAGATGCTAGATTGACAAACACTTTTTCTTTTTGAGCCTAACCTGCTTAAATCTATATTGCACTTACAGCAATATAAACTTCAAGCATTCTCTTGCTCTGAAGATGTAAGAGAGCATTAATTACTACAGTGCCTTTGAGGCAGTGTTCATCAACTAACTGAATACTAATTATTAAAAGGGAATAGGGCTTTCTTTGGATTATATTTTATGTTGATTTAAAACAAATCAGTCTGTTCCATAATGATCCATCTTGAAATGTTATGTGAGGATTTAATCTATAATTGTAATCTGTGCACTACGGCTATGTCTACACTACAGAGGTTTTCTTTCGGAAAAATGGCTGTTTTCCAAAAAAAAGTCACTTACATCCACACTGCAATCGCGTTCTTTCAAAAAAAAAAAAGCGAAAGAACAGAGGGGTTTTCCCAACAGTGGTAAACCTCTTTCTACAAGGAAGAACACCTTTTCTGAAAGGTTTTTTGGAAAAAGGCGTATGTGGAAAGGGAAGAGGTTTTTTTTTAATTAATTAATTAATTAATTATTTTTTGAAAGAAGAGGCCTCCAGGAAAAAGCACAGGAGCCCTGGTGGCCACTCCGTCCATAATAATCACAACTTAAATGCGAGATAGCGTCCATGGACTCTATCTTTAGAAAAAGCAGATCGCTTTTATGATGCGCCTTTGCAGTGTGAATGCTCTCTTTTGGAAGAAGCGTTTTTGGAAGATCTCTTCCAGAAGAGCTTTTTCCGAAAGAAACCTGCAGGCTAGACATAGCCTACCTGACACTTATCATTAAATTATCACATTTCCTCTGTATTTCTAAATTCCTTCATGAGGAAATGATTTACTTGGAAAATGATCTGTGAATTATGTTGCATGACATGGCACTCAGTGGTCTTTAACGCCGCAAATTTCTGTGGTGTAATGTGTAACAAACCTCTTTGATGTAATACCAGTGTAACTGTGACCATAAAATGTTCCTTCTGTACCCACCTTAGTCAAAGAAGATATATTGTTGCATCAGTCAGTTTTTGTTCCATCCTTAGTAACTTTGGAGTATAAAATATTACTTTAAAAAATGTAGACCATAAATATAACTCAAGTTCCATGTTGAAAATATGTCCGAATGATTCTGATAAACCCACAGACTGAAGGAAATGTATAGTTTAAGCACTCTGTCATTATGTTACCCAATAAAATTTAGATACTGAAGAGAATGGTGCCTAGAACCAATGATCTTACTAAGTCGCATTTAAAATATAAATTCCAGACTGTCATTTCCAAGGTAATCTAAAAGAATAAATGGATATCGAAGGAGCTAGGATTCCCTGTATCTAGACATTTTTAAAAAATGATTTCAACAGCAAGGAAGCAAGATGTGATAAATCAATCTGAAGAGCCAGACAACTTTCAAGCAGATGACAGCCACTGTGGAAAACACTGCTCTTGGCTACACTATTATAAATTCAGAGTAACTTCATTGATTTAAATGGAGTTCAAGTGAAATGTTAGGAATATATGTAAGCACAAAATGTGGTGTACTGCATACTGATGATCAGTAGACTTGAGTGAAGCTGAGGATTTTAGCTGTCATTTTGCTCCTTTTAAGATTTAATATTTAAAAAAATTATTCTGTCTCAAAACAAAGGAAGACATTTTGTCTCCTGGCTTCCTAGCCAATAGGTTTCCCATACTGAAATAATTTTTGAAAGGATTCACATTAAAAAACACACATGTCTGGCAACCAGAGAAGAATTAAAGTTTCTCCACCAACTGAACACATATTAGTGTGCAGTATGTAAATGAACGGCTCTGTGCAGGATGAGAAGAGTCAGATTCTGATTTCACTGATAGTACTGTATATCAAGGATAATTCCACAGAAATCAATGGCATTTTTCTGGGATTACTCTGGAACAGAAATTAAAACTTGTTTCATAATAGTTGTATAGGAAATGCTTAATGGAAAGGAATACTTTAGAAGAACCGGTAGGAAAATTTCTGACAAAATGAAATTTTGTGAAACAAATGTTTACCAGAAAGTTGTTTTCATGCTATTATAATCCAAACATTAAGTGATCATTTTGGAAAAGAATAGCCTTTTATGTCTGAAATTATTCTAAATGTAGTAAAAATGTGCAAAAAATTAATGAGATTTTGCTCTAATTGCTTTTTAAAAAATTAAAGAAATAAAAGGTCTGTAGATTTACATTGCCCCTGACTTAGCACCAACAAAATCTGTATTTCATATTTACTTGCTTCTAAATGCATGGATGATTTGACTTTTATAATTGCTAAGGAAACAGTAAAGGTTTTTTTCACACCTTTCTGCATCCTATTTTCCCTGGAAAGGGAGAGTGGGAAGTTAAGGAAGATATATTTGTTGCCGTCAAGTGTTGACATTGCTACATTGAAAATAAAATACTCAGCCATGTAATCAATTCAAGAACAAAAGCATCATTTGAGAAAAGTAAGTGATTAGAAGAAAAATCATAGGCATGGTGTTAGTCTTATACAGCTATAAAATGAATCTGTGGGTGAAATGGCTTCTAGAAACTAACGTTGGGTCAGTGTGTTAACCCAGATCCATTGTGCCTTTTGTTCACAAGCTAAAACAATCTGTGCTGATTCTTGTTTAAAATTAATGACTGTGAAGCCTAATAAGAGCACGTTAGCAGAATATCCAAATTCCAGAGCATATAAGGAAGCTGCTAGATCAGGGGTGGGAAACCTCAGGCTCAGGGGCCAGATACAGCCATCTGTTTGCTTGGATCTGCCCCAAGGCTCACAGTCCTCCCCCCCATCATTGGGGAGCCCGCGCTGGTGATCCATTCCCCCTACTGCCTCCCTGTGGGGCTAGAGCACAAAATCTATTAGGCTGGGCTCCCCAGGCTCTGGTGTGTGAGGGGAATGTGGGGAGTGTCTTTCTCCTCATTCAGAGGCAACAGTGAGGGTTTTTTCCCTGCTTCTCACTTGTGGGCAGCCCCCAACTGATTTTCCTGTGGCTCAGCAGCCCCTGACTTAAAGAAAAAAATAAAATTAAGCAATTTTGAATACCCTTGCAGAATGTTCTTATCTAGTATAATATGTACATTATTGTGATCACAGATTAAAATGTTTATCACTGATAATACATTCTAAACATTGATTATTATCAATATATAATACATGAGACAGCATTAAAAATTACTACAGTTCCCCTCTTGTCTTTTAGTACTGGATTCTGTTTATCATTTATTTTTCTATGTTGTAAACTGCAAAGGTACAATATTTTGTGAGTGTTACCAATATTATTTTCTGTCCAGCTACCCATTTGTCTTCTATAACGGTGTTCTAAACCAGTCTTACATTTGAAATGGTCAAAGATGGGAACTGAAATGCACAAGTGAGAACAAAATAAATTGAAAACTTGGGGATAAGAGGGAAAAAAATCTCACTAAATCACAAAAATTATGGTTAGTGCCTAACTAGAATTTCTGACATTGCTTGACTTTGCTTGGAAAATGTTTAGATTCTCAATGTCTTTTGTTGTATGGATATAAAGCCTCTTGTACTTGAAATATGTATTCGAAGCCTGTTAACCAAATATGCAGGGTTTATTGATAATATTAATAAACAAAAATGAAGCCATTTGCATTATCTACTTTTATTATTAATCCATTTTATGTATATCATAAATAGTTTAAGGGGCCATGTGACGGACCCCAGCGGGGTCCGCACTAGCCGCGGGGGGGAGGCCCCCCCCCATCCCAGGGAAGCGGTGGCCGGAGGAGGCGGCGGCGCTGAATCCAGCCGCCGGGGACTTAGGCGCCGGGCAGCACAGGCGCGCGCAC